GTAGGCCAAGCTAGAGCATGTAATCTTACCTTTTCAGTTGCCCCAGTAAAGTACACCTGCCACCATCTTTGCTATCTTTTGGTGCCAAGTAAAAACATTTTTATTCTGCTTGCCTTTTAATAGTAATTCTTCTGTAATTTTAACATTCTGCTGCTGCTTTTTCTTGTTACTGGCTTATTATTTTTATTCTTTATATATTTTGTAATGGTTTAACCTTAATACGTGTCTGAATGTCTTAAACTTATAAATTGTTGCAATTGATTATCTCTTTGCATTTTTAAAAAATGAGTAAACTTACTTTAAGAAAGTTTAATGTTGTACATGTGTATGTGTTTTACATATACGGCAGTGGTGGGTTTCTACCGGTTCGGACCAGTTCGGCCAAATCGGTAGTGGTTTGGCAACCTGGGTGGCTGGAATCGGCAATGACCCAGGCCTGCCACGTCCCCAAATTGGTTTTCTGAGCGGTGCCATAGGTGGCGCCATCTTGTTCTTCAGTTCTGCACATGCGCAGAACAATTTTTATTGTACTGCATGACATGCCCACAAGCAAACTGGCAGTAGTGGTTGCCGAAATTCACCCCTGATATACATACATAAAATCTTTAAAAAATTTATATATATAAAAATTGCTTCATTATATTCATGAATATTGGCATGTAAAAATGATTCCAGTTCTAGATTTAGCAAGGGGCTGCAACTGAAAAGAACCTTTTTAGATATTCATTTTTAAAAGAAAAACTATTCTACTACCTGAAAACCTTATGAAGAGAACTGAATCAAGATAATTCAAAACATTTTTAGTTGGGAAGAATCCAATCCCAATCCCTCCAGGAACCTATGGAAACGTTTCTCTATTTTATTGGAGAAGCTTGGCAATTACCAAAGTTGCAGAGAATTGTTAAAACGGGCATTGGCTGGGACAGAAGAGGGAGGCTTCCAGTCTCAGAAAAGGGTGCCGGATTTTATTGTGATGCATCAGCTCTCTGCTTTCAATTATGGGGAATGCCATTAAGAGTGGTATTAAAAAGTACAGCTCAGCTAGGCTTCAGATCCAAATATAAGAAGGTGTTTTAAATAGTGGAGGGGGCCCTTCATATAGCACTTATCTGCAATTCCTTCAAACGACTATGCTATTTCCTGGAATAACACATTTCCTTTCCACAGCCAATCAGTAATCCCAGCAAAGACATGTTTGGATTAAGGAGTTACATCAGTTATTACATATATGCTCACATGAGCTCCAAAGCACCGTTTTGGCTTCAAATCTGAAGCACTGTACATCCAGTGGTGGGATTCAGCCAGTTTGCACTACTGTGGGAGAACCAGTTGCTAACTTTTTGAGCAGTTTGGTAAACTGGTTGTTGGAAGAAATCATGAAGGCAGAGAACCAATTGTTAAATTATTTGAATCCCACCACTGTGGACATCCCTATTAAAAAGTAAGCTTATCAGTGCTCCAAAAAGAAAAGGTTCTTGGTCAGTGAGAACGAGAATATTAAAGAACTAGGAATGTATTTGCAATAGATCCATTTTTCTCAGTTATTTCTATGGCTTTCTACATGAGACACATGTCATAAAATACAAAAGGGAACATTAAAGAGTTTTGTTAATGACCTATTACTCTAATTTATTTATGGTGTGCCTTCAAATCAGTTTTGACTCCTGTCCCTGCTGTCTTCCAGGCAAGATTTTTGAAGTGGTTTGCCATTGCCCATTTTCAGGGATGAGACAATGTGACTGGCCCAAGATCAGCCAGTTGCCTCTCTACCTAAAGTAGGACCAGAACTCCAAGTGTCTAGCCTGATGCCTTAACTATTACACCAAACTGGCTCTCATGTTACTCGAATGGCATAATCCATTACAATGCCATAGAAGTTCAGTGAATTTCAATTTATTTTACTACTGGTTTGCGCGTATGCACAGAAGCGTCCGGCATGGATGGGCAGAGCTTGCCGCCGCCACCACTACCGGTTTGCCTGATCCGGAGTGAACCGGCAGAAACCTACCTCTGCACCTTTCCTATTTCTACAATTAGCCTGTCTCCTTGCAGAGTAAGTTTTTCATTACATTACACTCCATGCATGCATGAAATAGAGAGATCTAGGAGGCAGAACTGAAACTGGCATCAAAATGGCTTTGTGGAACCATTGGCTAGAAGGAATTGCTTGCAGGAGAAGTATAAAAAGAACAGTTGAAGATAGAAGGGAGGAAGTGAAAACGGCTTGAACAAAAATATTTCCAGTTGGAAGAACAACTGAATTCAAAAGCTTTAAAGTATTATCCCTTCCTCCCTTCCTGCAACACCACTCTCCCCACCGGTTACTTTTTTGGGGGGGAGGGGAGAATCACAAGAAAGAAATCACCAGAAAGAAAAGGTCCATGTTCATAACTTGGCTGGAAAAGAAACAATTGTGTCAGGCAAGATTTATACAGCCTACAAGAGCCAGGCCCTACCAAAGAGGAGATCTTGATAGGAAAACTTAAGGCCAGCAATTTGTTCCAAGCAGACCTCCTCCATTACGTCACTCACTGCTCTTCTTTAGGAAGCAGAGGCAAGGGGACAGGTTTAACTTCAGTGCATACAGTATAAATCAGGATTTAGTTCAAAATAAACCAGAATTGAGTAGGCTCACCTAAGTTTCAGATACATTTGTCAACATTTTCTCTCCTCCTGTTTCAAAACATTTTATATCCTTTATTTATATATTTATATTTATATTTATATTTATATTTATATCCTATATATATATATAGGATAGTTCTATTTTTAGGTGGGTGATTACTGGAAGCCAGTGAACATGCTGTAAATTGAAGAACACTATCGGTAATGGTTTTCTAAACATTTTCCAGCTTTAACTAGCTGCATTTTCAGCTCTGGGTATTAAAATAACTCCATTACAAATCCCAACAATGTTATATTACCCCATCATGAAACTGATCACAAATAAACAATTGTAGTGAACAAGGAGGGAGAAAAGACATTGCCACATAAAGCTACATAGCACGGCAAAGATATCAAGGAGTCTTTCAGTTACATATCTGCTCTTGAAAACTTCCTTCCTTTTTCATCATATGAGAGCAACTGCTTGGAACTTCCTTGCATGAAACACCATGAAACCTCATCTTTTGGGATGTAAGGCCCTTTGGTGAAAGGGAGTTTATAAAAGGAATGCAGAGGTCCCAACAGTGAGAAAAAATAATACAACATGAGAACCACATTGTCTCCTGCGGGCATTTTAATCTTGATTTGGGATTAGCAACGCATCCAACTTTGGCTATTTCACTTTTTGTATATTTATTTATTTATTAAATTGATATGCTGTCTATCTCACCGCCGAGCGACTCTGAACACTTAAGTTAGTGTATAAATTCCTATTTGATCACCTATCCCATTCACCAGAACTCATACATAGTGATAGCATCTTCCTAAAATTCTTTAGTGAATTTATTTAGCCTCTTCCAAGTTTTCTGAGCTGGGCTGGACAACTTTGTTTAATTTAAAGCAGACAAGACCTCCATGATCAGAGAGAAACCTTTTAAAACGTTTCCATGTTCAGTGCATATGTAGTAACATTGCCAAGTCCTAGAGGCAATTTTTGTTTACCAGCAGAGCTTAGGGCTTCAACGGTTACTACTTGATTTTCATTTGGACCCTTGGCTGCAGATCACACATGCCAATCCTTTCCCTGGAAAGTTTTTTGTTCCAATCTCCAGAGGCCATTTCTCTAGAGTCTAATTTGGTTCGATTATTTCTTCCGCGTAAAATCCAAACTATCAATTCAGGGGTGCATTTTTAATAGAGAAGCTGAGAATTCACACAGGGTCTTAGAAAGCAAAAATGAAGCTGAAACATTTCTCCCTTCTGGTCAGAGGTGGTATTTAGCCAGTTCTGACAGGTTCTGGAGAACCGGTAGCGGAAACTTTGAGTAGTTCAGAAAACTGGGAAATAGGCTGGCCCTTCACCCACTGGCTCCCTGTCTCCCAGGTTGATCGTCTTTTATTGCCAGGAGAACGGAGCTGGAAAGCAATGGGATGGGGAGGGAATGGAGTTTTGCAGTAATCTTCCCCCAGGAGTGGGGAGGGAATTGGGTTTGCGGTATCCTTCCCCTGCCACGCCCAGCAAGCCACACCATGCTCACCAAGCCATGCCCACAGAACCGGTAGTAAAAAAAAATTTGAATCCCACCACTGCTTCTGACGTGAAAATCTATACATTGTGGGTGCAGGTTTTGGTCTAACCTCTGCAGTTTCTGCATAAAAGAAAGCAGTGTCATTTAAGCCCTAAACCTATGCAGCACCATTTCTGCCATTGATACCAGGAAAAGATACATCTTTAAATATTTTTTTAAAATCAATAAAATCAATGTACACATTCAGGTATTCTCATTTCTGGTATTCTCATTTGATTCACAGAAAGCAAGTAATCAAACAGACTGAAGACTATAATTGCTTAACAGTTTTCATAATAACTAGCAATGCCATAAATCACAAAATGGCATTGCCCTTGTGCTATAAAGTGGCCTTGTATGTATTAATAAATCTCTTTAAACTCACCCGTGATATATAATTAGGCACCAGTCAAAGACCAAATGATCCATTTCAGTTGTGCGTAAAGATGTCAACTGAGTCGTTTATATTTATGATTTATTTATTACATTAATTTATATACTGTCTCCTTCTAGATCTCTAGGCAGCTTGCAATAACATCCTCAAAACACATTACCATGTATCACTAAAACAACAGAGCGGCAATAAAAATAAAATAAAGACACATCATATGGCCTTTATCTTCAAGTACCATACAATTATTCAACTGCTTCTCCTGAATTAAATCCCAAAGGCCAATAAGAGCAGCAAGCAACCACTTCACAGGGGATAAGCTGTCCCAGGACCTATAGATTTTAAAATATGATATCCAGAGCTGCAAGCTGCTTTCTTTTTTTTAAGATCAATACCAAGGGGCCATCATTATGCCCGGAAATGACCTGAGAAACTCACCACACAGATTCTACCCACACGGCTGAAAATAGCATGCCCTTTGCTGTCTGACTCTGCAGCTTTCTCCGTGAAGAAGAAGTAGACTTTGTCATTATCTCGATCATCATTCTCTGGGATCATATAAGCAGCAACAAATTTGGGAGCTGAGAAAAAAAAGAATCATTGATTAAGAAAAAAAAAGGTCCCCAGAAGCAGTTTGTAGCTTGGTGCTGGTCCTAAAAGTTTAAAATCTTGGCAGATTCTGTCTTGGAACAGTTAATGAAGGTTATTGCCAAGAGAGATAACAGATAAGTACTCTTCTTAATAAAACTATACGGGGTTAGTTATATAAACACTCCCCCATCTCCTCCTCCTTCCCCATGTACAAATTTAGAGTGAACATGACCTCCATTTCACCTTTTTTCCCCCCATTCTTATTTTTGTGGACAACGCTCCCTTTTTCATTGATTGCTGTGTACGTTGTATGGGTTTCTGTCAGTCACTTTTCTTCTGATTATCTTTGAGCTTTGCATGAGACCCTGTTTAATCCCCTTTGCACCCTTGTCATGATCCAGTGCACAAAATTCATACAACACATACCTATTTCATTGTTTGCCTAAAATGAAGCAATCCCAACTTCTCTAAGACTGCATATTTACATGTTCACTGTGCTTTTGGACTTGGTAAAGAGTCGTAATTTTTCCCTACCGTTAAGCAGCCTCTGGTCCATCTCTGTACGTAGAGAAGAGCGATGTCCCATGGTCCGGAAGATCACAGAGTCCCTGCCCAAGAAATCGGCTGTTAGCCCCGTATACAAGTCTCCACCTAGGGAATAAGTTCAATTAAAAACAGTAGCTGTTTGTTCACAAGTTTTGTATTTGTTAATAATAATTAATAATAAAGGCACCAGCACATAGAGACGCATCCCATTATATTTAAAGAAGATCGTGAGTATTCTGATTGCCTGGTTCAAGATGAGAATGGATAGCTTGTCTAAAGCCATCCATTGCATTTATGGCAGAGGTCGGATCTAAACAGGAGATTCCTTGGCTGCCATTCTTGAAAAGTCTGGTTCTATCAATTCTCAGGGTCTTTCTAGATCAGCCCTTCATTATGCAGCAGCCCAAGGGAGCTGATGGGGAGGGAAGTCCAGATGATTTCATCTACCATTTTTAATCCTCCCATCTGTTCCTGTTACTTTCCCCATCATTTTTCTTACCATGGACAATTCATTATCAGCGGCAACACTGAAACGTATAGCACAATTTTCATGTGAGATGAGGAAAGAAAATAACTGAAGCACGGGGAGGGGGGAGCAGTTGTCCCTGGAGAGAATGAATGGGGGGTTTGTAGCTGTCTTTTCTTTTTCTTTTTTCAAATTACGTGGACTCAAAATCACACTGAAGTTCTAAATACAATTACAGTTTATTTTATTGATTAGCCCTTGGGCCATTTCAAATGCAGAGTTCCAGAAGAAAAAAAATCTGATAAGAACAATTTAAAGTTCTAAATGAGTGTGGCTATACTGAGAAGGAGCAGGCCTCACATCCATAGGGAAAACCCATCAACATAATAGTCTTTAAAAAGTCAAGCCAGTGTTTTTCAACTTTAGCAATCTTAAGATGTGTCAATTTCGGCTCCCAGAATTCCTCAGTCTTAAAAGTTGCCAAGGTTGAGAAACACTGAGTTAAACAATCCTTGTCCTTGCTCTGCTTTTTGCCACATATTCCACTGAGCACTAAAACATGATTTAAATATAAATTAGGAAATCGAGAGTAGAAGAAGTAGCAGTCTTTTATTTCAGCAAAACAGCAACTGTTCTCTTCCCCAACCATACTGCTAGATGTAGCTCCTACTTTCTGGATTACTCCAGAGGTGGGTTGTTGCTGGATTGGCCCAAATCGGTAGAACCGGTAGTAGCGGTGGCTGGAGGCTTTGCCCACCCACCCAGACGCTTCTGCGCATGCACAGAAGCGGCACGGGAGCGCGCCCAAACTAGTAGTAAAAAAATTAGCAACCCACCTCTGGATTACTCATGTTGCACTCTCTCCAAAGCTCTCAGAACTTGTCCATTTATAATGGTAGTTTAGAAAACACAACAGAACCCACATCTATTATTGAATCATAAATTCAGCAATTGCCTGGGTGGATTTTACATAGAAATTCAAAAAAGACCTTGGAGAAATACAGCCTCAATAGTTTATTATGTTTTTGTTTTTGTTGAGCTTTTTAATTCTGTTCATTATTGTTATTGGGTTTTTTTCATTTTGTATGCCACCCAGAGTAACAAACAAAGGCTTCTAATACATGCTTACAGACAAATAACCTAAGTCATTGATTCTTGAGCAGAGTGACCAGAAAAAGCCTGGAAGAATGGAACTGAATCAAATTCTCTCTGGGGAACAGAAAATTGCCAGGCAAGTAAGCCTATAAGAACAATTCTTGAGAATTCCACGTGAGATATTGCATTTCTTCAATTATTTCCAGCACTTATTTGCTGAATGTCTTAAACAGTAAACTAAGTAGCAGGAAAAATAATATACACATACAATAATAAAACAATAAATATCCATGTGCAGCTAATAGGATACAAGATTCAGATTAATTTACTTTGGCACCTACCAAAAAATGTACTTGCAAATGCTCGATTAGGCTCATGTGGACATCTGCCCCGGCCACTTTCTATACTGGTTGGATCCATGCTGAACATGTGCTGGGAAGAGAAACAAGGGGGGTGGGATTAGGTGCCCACATCAAACTAATAGAGCCAAAGGAAACGTGGAAGTGTTTGTGTGATAAGAATGAAGAGAACCCCAAAAGGCTCTCAGATCATAGTATGTGTAAGGAAACCCTTGTCATGATAGCAGAGATTCACCAAGAGGAAGTAACAGCGTTTTTTTGTTCTTAATGTAAGCAAAAATCAAGTTACTAAGACTGATGTTCATCCCATTATAAACCCTATGGCTTTCTCAGTGCCAATAGATCTTGGAATGTTTACATCTTTATGAATTAAAAGTCGCAATAGAGGTTAAGGAGAAACTGACTTGGGTTTAAGAACTCAAGAGACGAGAGGGAGGGAGGGAGGATTCACAAAATGCTGACTCATCTGTTCAAACAAGCTGACGTTTGATTTTAGTACTGTCTGTTACTGTTGTTGGTCAATGACAAAATAAATGATGGCCAAGCTCACAATATAGGAAGGGAAAGGTCACAACCAATCCTAGAAAGGCATTAAATGTCCTTGCCATGGTTAACTCTTTGGTAAAATGTTGTTGGTGGGGTCTTCACTACCCTGTTTAGTTTCAAGAAATACCCCCTCAGCATAATGAAACTGTGTTTTTTGAAAATTGTAATGCTGATATTATTTCTGGAATATTTGAGTGTTTCTCTGGAGTCATCTCCTTGGCTGCACAAAGCGATCTCTTCAAATCACCTAATTGTGGGAGCTTCATTCAGGCTTTCCCCACACCCACACTCGAGGCGGAACACAGGGCTCAGATTGTGTTTCTGCTTTGCATGGCAAACCAGGGTGATGTCAATCTGAACATGCGGGGAGGGCGTTGCATGAAATGAGAAGTCCAAGTGATCATCCCAGGGGCTCATGATAAACAGCTGTGCTGAAAGGACTCTTTCTCCCACAGGCTTGGTCATAAAAGCTTCTGAAATTGCCAGAGCCAAGAGGGGTTATGAGGTGAAGTTGGGCGACCTTCCTGCTTAGGCCAGCTTGATTAATGAGGAAAGGACACGAAATGCCACCCACAGATTTTATATCTGGTTGTTGATCGGGGTGTTTTTCATGAGAGGCCAGTGGGTCAAATGGCTGCTAATTGGTCTTCACTCTTGTTTAGTCTTGATTTTATTTGTATTAGTCCTTTACAGAGCTAGACTGTAGTTTTAACCGAGTTTGAGATAATGCAAAATTTTATTAATATCTTATTACACCAAAGGTTTAATAATTTATGTATATATAGAAGGATGTTGCATATGTGTGTACACACAGAGAGAGACACAAAGACAACCAAACAGTTTTCAAGAAGTAGCCTCCAAAGCTTCTAAGAGATTGAGCTAATAATGGATATAGGTTTCAAACAAACAGAATGATTTGGTCCTTCTGATTGCAAAAATTTTGAACAATGTGATCAATAGGTGCAAATTACAGAGAGTAGATTATTTTCTACAATACTGCTTCCAGACCAGTGATGAGATTCAATATTTTTTTACTACTGGTCCTGTGGTCATGGCTTGGTGGGCATGGTGTGGCTTGGTGGACGTGGCAGGGGAAGCTTCCTGCAAAATCCCCACCTCCTCCCGATCAGCTGGGACTCGTGAGGAAAGAATAGATGGGGATCTATTCACACACACACCCCAAAAGTCCTAAAAATAGCATTACCAAAACACAAAATGATTAGTTCGGGGAACATAATCAGTTACAAAGTATGAAAATATCAGATGGATGTGTAGGCTCTCTCTCAGCAGATGATTTCTGCTAATTTTACCTCATTCCTGAGCAGGTGTGTATAGGCCAAAGGTCCAGATGGCAGCCATCCACCATTTTTGCTTTTAGAAAACGATTATGGGGCCTATTTGGGATCCAAAGGCATTTTTGAAAACTAAGACAACACTCGAGACTGTTGTTTCATTTCCTAGCAGAGTTATTTACTAATTTAAAAGATGTCTTTAAAAATGTGAGAAACCACAAGGGAGGCAGGGAGGTTTAGCAGCCTCCATAATAGATCTCAAGTTCCAAAGAAATCCATCCTTGGAAGCTACAGTACTTGTAGCTCATATCCCAGATATCCTATATATGCCTGTATTTGTGCTGTCCCTCAAATATGTTAATGTAGACCATTATACTGGACTCACTGGAGAAGAGCCTAATGCTGGGAAATATTGAGGGCAAAAGAAGAAGGGGGGGACAGAGAATAAAGTGGCTGAATGGAATCACTGAAGCAGTCTGCATGAGCTTAAATGGACTCCAGAGGATGGTAGAGGACAGGAAGGCCTGGAGAAATGTTGTCTATGGTGTCATGATGGGTCGGATACAACTTAACAACTAACAACAACAACAGGCTATTATACAGTTGCGATTTCACTGCTTTTTATAGGTTATTGCCTAGGTTAGGTTATGAAACATCTGCAGGAAAACAATGAAGCATGGAGAGCACCTTCTTCTTTTTTTAATCTGTCCCCTTCTAACATTATTTCGGCTGTAAGTACATTTCGGAGTGAATAAACATGTTACAGATGGAATATAAATGGGGTTTAGTTTGGTTTGTTTTTTTAAAAAGAGAGCAGACAGGAAAACAGGCAGAGGAAGAAAGTAGGAGTTAGATATGAATGGAGCAATGCACTGATCTGCTTGACAGCTTAATATATCCTACATTCACTTCTTAAGAATGCTGAGAAGGCTGGACAAATTCCACAATGGCAGTTATGTTTAGTTGCAACAACAAGCAGGCTAAGTGCACTGAACTGAGAAATCAAGGATTTGTTTTTCCCTATCTGAGAAGCATAATTAAGCACATAAATCAACCTTTCCAAACTTAATACAAGATAAGGCATTTAACACAAAGAATTGCAAACCTAGTTACTCAAGTCTGCATTGATTCCTTCTTGGAAATGGAAATATCAGGGTTTAATCTTTCTGCATTAAGTGAGCAGACTAGTACACATACAAGAAAAGCTCTGCTAAAACAATCAAAGGCTTGTCCAGTCTTCTCTATGATTTCAAGAGGTATCTGTCAGCTAATGTAACAAGATGCTGGTTTGATTAAATCTCTGCCTGATCCAAAAGAGGTCTGCCCCCCCCCCTTTTATTTGCAAAACAGATGGGGTGGAATGATTGAAACATTGGAATGGAACTGGAAGGCATGGGTTCAGATCTCACTCAACTGGGACACCATGGGGCAGTCACTGCTTCTCAATCTTGTAAGGATCAATGAGGGAAGCCTCCTTCTCCAAGAAGCTTGCCTTTACTTTATAGTAACAGGGCGTGTGTGGATGCTATAAATATAAGAATGAATAAAATAAAAGATTTTCCACATGAGAAGGAAGGGCTTGGGAACTCTTGCCTCACCAACAAATCTTCCTTCGTCTCCTTTATTTGCTTTATATCCTACCTTTATTTTTTTGCAGCTCATCCTTCTACTCCTATTTTCCATTTTCCAATCTTTCTGTGAGATGAGTTGGACTGAGAGACAATGACTGACCCAAAGTCACCCAGGCAAGTTCAATAAATAAGAGAGGTCTAGAGTTCAGGGTCTGTAGGTTTCTAGTCCAGCATCTTAGCTACTAAACCAAATTGGCTTCCCCCAATTAAAGAAGAAGAAGAAGACTGACTCAAAGAAACATTTTACAAACAAACAATAGTCACCACCTTCCACCCCAGGAGAGATATTGTGAGTCGCAATTGCTCTTAATAGAAAAATCTCCATCCTTCACTATAGTACTTATATATGGTCTGCCTCAGATGCACGTTGTCTCCTTACCTCTCCTCTGTGTCCCACATAGACGAAAGCACAGACGGGATGAAAAGCTCCAGTCCCACAAGCTAAGAGATGAGTCCGGTTTAAAGGATAAAGAACTCGGATATAGTTTGCACACTCCGTCTGGAAAAGAAATAGCAACTGGTATTTGCAATGCTTTCTATGAAATAACTTCATCTGGATGGTCGCAGCTAGGTATTGCAATTAAAAGAGTGTGTTGAGCAAAGGGTGACACAATTAGAAAGAGGGTGGATTTCTGTTTCAAGGGATAAAGTACCATGAAGATATACAGAGTTATTTAGAACCATGCTTGGTAGCTTTGGTTTCTCAACACTGACTTTGGCTAGTCCTTTTCACCCATTCTCCATGCTTTGAAACACCTTCCCCATAGAGATCGAGGAAAGCACCTGCAATCTAATCATTCAATCCATCCCAGGAGGAAGGCATGTTGCAATCATTAGGTCACCTGGTCAACACATGGCTTAGTATGTTTTCTTCTGCTTCTATACAACTGTGAAACCATTAGTTCCTTTATTACTTTCAGGGGAGTTTTCTTGTTGTATGATGGTTTTGATTGTTAGCAATGAAGAGCCTTTGGGAATGAGCAGCTTAATAAAGAATCAAAACAGTAAAGTGATATGTTGAGCACAATGAACCAAATAGCGTTTTCCACTTGCCAAAGACTAATGTTGTTTTAGAGCCAATATCTATACTGAAGTACAGAGAACAAATCCCTTCTCATATTTCAAATTTTCACATGTCATTCCCCAGGGTCATAAAAAATTTTCTTCTCGTTGAGATCATATCACCAATTATAATTATGTACTGCTTTTGATCAGAGACCAGACTTTTCTTGTGACTTCCAAAATGGGTAGTAAATTCCTGTTTATATCTTGTAGGTTGTTAGGTACATTACAGTCCTCCTCCCATGTTCCCGTCACTTCAACTGAACCAATGACGATCTTTCCGCACCTCAGGCTGCCTGGGTGACTGATGTGACTGAAACCATTGTGTTATCATTCATAGGTCAGGAAGTGAGGTTGTCATATTGCCTTGTGCAGTGATATCCTGTATTAGCCTAAGTACATACAATGTATGTAACACTGCAGTTAAATCAGCAGAAAACAGGAAGAAAGCACCACAATGGATCTAAAAATAGCATTTTCATTTAGAAATTCAAATGGGCATCCAGAAAATAAAATCTATCCTGCCATAGTTCACAAACATGTCCAATGGAGGAAGAGGCAGGCAGGCAGGCAGGCAGGCAGACAATTCCTGCTTCCCAGTCTTTGTTTTTCAAATTGGATTCCTGTTCTCAGAAATGTTCATATGGAACACACAGAATGCTTCCGCCTCCATCATTTGGTACCCATCACATAACCTCCCCTGTCTGCGCTGTATATGTTAAAGACTTTTTAAATTTAAAGTAAAACTAAATAGGAAGCCAAACATAAGGCAAAGCATAGTTCCAGTCTCAGATTCATTTGTAGGAATTATATGGGGTCCTCAAAGTAGACAACATTTTGAAGGATTAGCTGTTTTCTTGGTAAATGGAATGTAATGGGACACACATAATCTTGTATGTGGCTGGATATGGTAGGTTGGTTTGGGTGGGAAAACTCCTCCATATAGTCCCCTCCCATACCTGGGTGGTGGTGGTGGAATAATTGGGTAAATGCTGCTACATTTCTCCAAGAACAGATGAAAGGGTTAGGGTGAGGGTTGCTTTCTTCCTTTTCTATAGCTTAATCAATCAGGGAGATGTTAGAATCCTTTCAGAAAGAGAGAACTGAAGTCTTTTTAAAATAATTATAGAACACAAAGGATAAAAAGTGGGGGAAAAGAAAGCATCATTTCTAATGAGATCTCAGCTACTTCTCTATCAGCAAAACCTCAGACATACAGTTCTAATCCAGTGGTGGGTTTCAAAAAAATTTTGAACTTCTTCTGTAGGTGTGCCCTGCTTTCCGGGTCCACTGGTGGAACCTCTTCTAACCAGTTCAGTAGATTTGACGAACCGGTTCTACCGAATAGATGCGAACTGGTAGGAACCCACCTCTGACTAATCCCACTTCTAGTTTGACTAGATTGCCCTAGATGGCTATTTTCTTTATATCTCCAAAGCAATTCCTGCACTGAAGTTCTGCCTTCCTAGATTTGATCCCAAGAAGTGATCAAAAGGCAAAAGGCAAAGAGAGAAGGGAGTTGCCCCTTCCTTTCTTTAAAAAAAAAAAAACTACCTGAAAGGAGAATCTGTTTGATTCTTGCAAATTTTGGACATTTATATCCCTATTCCTGGATTGTTAGAACCAGGAATTGCTTTCAGTTGTCGGCATCAGTGCCAAGTTTAGACCTGGTGAGGCATTAAGCTACGGTATATAAAGTTTGGAGGGCGCTTGTTAAAAATTTAAACTAAAAGGCCTCACAATAGGGCATATCGAAACAGGACTTTGGGTAACCACAAAATATACACACACTCATACACCCCTTTTAATTATTTTAATTATTTAATAGCAAGGCATTCAAAGTGAAAAATACAATTTATTTTCAAACGAATTCTTTACTGCTAACATATTTATCATTTGGCTGGCTTAACACCTCTCATAAATTATAATATAATACAACATGCCTTAACTCTAGAAACAGTACTTAAGTGTAATTTCTAAAAGCAAAAAGAAAACAAATATCAAATATGTTGTGAGGTCCTAAGATGTAGCTTGATTGCCTTATGTCTGAATCTAGCACTTCTTAAAACAGACTCTCACAATCACTTTTAGGTGCTTTGTGATTGGCCATATTTCCCACAAACCTGCCAAGGGAGCCATTTGGTGAAGATTCTTGCTCTATTCCTAAAATCTCTAATGTGCCCCCAGTTTAAAAGTATCATCTATTTCTGATTGTAATTGCTAGGAAGTTGACTTACAGTGATCAAATGCTACTTTCAACTCCCAACAGTTATATAAAATTGTTGGCAGAGATTGTCAAAAGGTAGCAGTCTTCCAAACAAAGAGGGAGATTTAGGAAGAGCTGTTTCCAAAGGCAATAAAGTTAAGAGACTCACTGATTAAAGGGAAAAAAAGAATACGTATGATTTAATAGTTTGCTTTGTTTCCTACATGTCAGGCAGGCTATGCTATAGAAATAAATTTGTCCAGAGAGTTTCTTAGAAAAATGAGAATCTGAGTGTCTGAACTCCCTGCTCAGAATTTAACAGTTGTAGTACACAACTTCAAAAATATATTTTCAGAGCTACAAGTTGATGAAAAAGATTTCTTCTGTTTTAGGAATGAACAGAACCTGGATTGTGTGACTGCCATCCCTACATGCTGGATTCCAGGAATCGAGATTATGGGAGATTGTAGATCAGAATTCTTCATGCAGAACAGAATACCAATGAAGTCTGGATAGTTGACACTGACAGCCAACTTGGTCTTATAGACATAAGGCTATATATAACAATTTGGGGCCTGTGAATAGACCTAATGGGAATTGACATAAAACATTTATTTCCAGAGTCTAACAATCCAAAAAACCATCTTGGACTTTTTTTTTCTGCTCTTAAGAGTCCTATGGAAATTTAGGGAAATTTGAAATGAATTGGCTAATGCCCCTAATAAGAAAGCGACTGACTTATAAGCAACTACTCTGTAATGCTTCAAATTAGATCTGCCTTCCTCAACATGGTGTCTTGCAGTTGCATTAAACTACAACAGTTCAAGCCAGAGGACTGGCAGCTGTGCTGGATGGGGATTATGAGAATTGTAAACCAACGTATGCAGACAGTACTAGCTTGGTGGAGACTGCACGTAATTATCCCATCTCTCTCGCTCTCTCTTGGAACAAGGCCTCCTCAAGACTTCTTAATTCATTTTGCTTTTTCCCACCCAAAGGGAGAATTAATACTAAAAAAAGAGGATATTAGACTCAAAGCAAGGGTCTTAGATTTAGTTTTGCCTGCAAATTCCAGTTAAGATGTAGGGGGTGGGTGGGAATATTGCTGGTAGGGAGACAATTACAGGAAATGAAGGAGACGCACAACCTTCATCCAGCCAAACAGTCATTTAAAAAGGAAGTTTAGTTACATAGCAGAATGACAAACGACCACTCACAAGTTTGACCTGGATTAATTGTTGACTTTTCCGGAGCAGAAGTCATTGGCAGATAAGCAGAAAGAAGCCATGGAGTCTCTTGGAGGCACCACCAGATTCCAAAGGCCATCGCACATAACAAACTACATGTAGACTGCTGTAGAAACCCAAGGCCTTACCCTCCCTTTCTTACCCTCGTCTTTCCTTCTGCATCACATCATCAAACAGGACATGCCACATCCCATCTCTCATTTCTATTTTGAACACACCACTTTAACAAAAAAAAAAAGGTCCCTGGGTATTTCCAATAAACTAAATAGTAGGTTGCTCTTTTAGCACTCAGTCTCAAAACCAGGCAATAATTGGTACCCACTTAAGACTACCCACCCAGGGGTTATATTAAAATGGGAAATCTGATTGATGCCAAGGAGACGTCACGTCTTTTCATGATAGGTTCGTGATGAGTTTAAAGACTGAAGTTAAAGGTGCTCATAATACATCAATTCAACTTCTAAACCAGGACTATACAGGCAGTCCTCAGCTTATGATAACATCGGAGTCCAAAATTTCCATCATTAAGTGAAACATTTGTTAAGTGAGCCCCATTTTACGACCTTTCTTGCCACAGTTGTCAAGTGAATCACTGCAGTTGATAAGTTAGTAACACGGTTGTTAAGTGAACCTGGTTCCCTATTGATTTTGCTTGTCAGAAGGTCGCAAAAGGGGATCACATGACCTTAGGATACAGCAACGGTCGCAAGTCAGTTGTCAAGTGTCTGAATTTTGATCCCCTGATCATGGGAGTGCTATAAAGATTGCAACTGTGAAAAAAGGTCATAAATCACTTTTTTCAGTGCTGTTGCAACCTTGAATAGTCACTAAATGAAGCATTGTAAGTCGAGGACTACCCATATAACCCAAGAATAGCCTTTCACTCCAAAAGCCTTGAGCCTAAAACCTGCAATAACTGCCACCAAACTGTGATTTTAACAAGATAAGAGAAAAAACAGATAAAGCTTTCTCAGAAGAAAGCAA